GAATAATGAAGATATTATATCGTATGTGTGCTTACATGTCAAGTATTTGTGTCATATACTTACTAATTATGTTGCAAAATACAGCTTGATTGCTTTAATTTCTTAGTTACATCAACGTCACAGACACGTCTTTGTCTTCGTACTTATATAAACGGTACTTTGTTACTGATCCTTCGAATGTAACAAGAAAACAATGATGTAATTATAGAATCATAGCGGTCATATGCGTTAGTAGTAATAAATAAATATAATTTCGTGTATATTTGAAAATCGTTTTGAAATTCACAATCCAATAGAAATTAAAATATATAGTTTATTTTAAAAAAGAAATTGATTTGAAGTCGACAATTTAAAATAAGCTTTTTGTGTTCGTAATATAACACTACATAATTGAAACATTCGTGTAATATACTACATATTTAATTATTAATCTGTATTTTATTATTAATCCAAGATTACTGCTTACTTTGTTTATTTTTAATATGTACATGAAGTGAATGATTTTAATGAAGAATTTAAAAATTTAGCTAGATACAAATTTGAGAACAAATTTGTTAGACTATCAAAATAATTTTGTCGGACGATTAAGATGATTGCTAGAACTTGTTGTTGCGTTGCTCGTTACTTTTGATTTTCCACATAAAAATGAATTGGAAATCCAACAAAATAACATGTTCTGTATTCGGAAAAGATCTTTCTGTGTAATACCATACAGTTGGAATTAATGCATTAAGCAGTATATAAGTCTTCAGCTTAGAAAAGAATTTTTTATTTAATTATTAATTTAGTCCTTATTTATTTAATTGGAAAATATGTATATATTTTTAAATCTGTTCTTTGTGACTTAAGTACATACTTTTTTACTAAAAATAATAAAAACAATCTAAAAGAATTCAAATGATTAATTCTTTTTCAGTGCAACATAGTTGTATTATTGAAAACAATAAATTTTACACAGTGCAGATAGCGAGCAAATGGAGATCCTTTTTTGGAGATAGATGTAGACAAGTATGTCATTTGTGAGTTGTAATTTTAAAACTTGTAGTTCGAGATATTTTTAAGTGTTTTTCAATAGATTAACTTTATAATTTTGTATCTTAACAAAAATATTATGTTTCTTAAAATGAATAATGTTTTATAAAATGTACAGACCGATAGACAACACATAATCATATTTTTATAAAACACATGATTTAAATCAATGAATTCTTCGAATTTCAGTGTTATTCAACATTCTCTCTATCCTGACATTAAAAAAGAAATGTTCATCTGTTTAAATTAATTAATTTGTTTTTATAACTTTCGTAGGACAATATATTTAAGCTAGTAATGTCATATTTGATTTAAATACATACATTCCTCATTGGTTAATAGAAAACAGACAAACACAATTTATTAAAATAAATAATTCTTTTTCAAATCTATCAGTTGTTTTAATGAAAATGATAAGTTGTATTATGTATTAAAAGATTTTAAAGAATGGGGTTTATAAATATGTTTATGATCTGTCAATGCAATGTTAACTAATACTTGAAAATAAATATATTGTGCAATTTGCAATTAAATATTTGCGTATTCAAGCGCATGTGTGATTTTATATCTTGTGTATTTGAATATACACACACAAACGCAAACACACACACACACACACACACACACACACACACACACACACACACACACGCACGCGCACACACCCCCACACACACACACACACACACACACGCACGCGCACACACGCCCCCACGCGCACACACACACACACGCACACACACACGCACACACACACACAAATGTATATGGTGTTTTGTAAATTTAAAATGCTAACAACACATATAATAAGAATTATACAAAGACAGAATAAGTAAAATAAAATCATTTTTGTAATACGAGTAATTTAAATTATAATATTTTTCGATTGAATTATTAATTAACGCAAAATAATCTTCGGAAAATATTTTAACATTCCAAAGAAAATAAGTTCCTTTACATACACGCAACATCGATCCAGAAGGTTTTGATTCAATAATCGAAAATTTCTATCAATTTTGGATTTAATTTCGTATGAGTACGAGTAAGAGGATTTCATTAGAATTCTTAGAATTTTAACAATAACCTGTTTTAAAGAAACATTCAAAATATGGAAATTAAAAAATTCTTAAATTCACTAATTATTTATAACTTAAAATGTTTTAATTTGGGATGTCTTCCTTAAAAACAATTCTAATGCATTTGTAGTACATAAATAAAAATGTAAATATTCTAATAAAGTATCTTTTATTTCATACTTTTTCATGTATAATTATACTACTTGACAGCTAAGATGCTATGTTACATTAAGAAATAGTAAAAAAATATATCAATTTGAAATTTTTGATCATTCTCGGTAGATTTCACTTTCTAGACACGTATAACTGCTTACGTATTAATACTGCAATCCTGAAAAAGGATTTTTGAGAATCGGAGAAAAAGAAAAAAGTATTTCTTATACAAAAATTATATGTGCTTACGCTGTAGAACAGGAGGCTTTAGAATCCTCTAAACGATCCTGTACATGGAAATCGTAGGTGGAGTCATGGAGTCTTAAGTCGTAGGAAACCAGTCACAATCAAATATAAGAAGAATACTCTGTTAGAATTGGTCAGTTTCCTACGATTTAAGACTCCATGACTGTCTACAACTTCTGTGTAGAGGATCCGTTAAACATGATTTTAAAAGAGAATTCTTTTACGCGACCGTTTAGGAATTGTTTTATTTCTACACTTTCTTAATTTTCTTCATGAAAACCGGAAATTATCAATGATACTAAATGACACTATATACAAGGAAAAATATACAAAAAATATATATGCTCGTGCATATGTATAATATTCTGAAAACATTAAAATATTAATGATATATACATATAATGAAATTTATTCAGATTATGAAAGTTCGATTTATTACAAGATTATCCATATAATACACATAGTTAGTTACATGTACTGTGTATACATTACATCTTACATAGATTTTTATCTATTTCTTGTATAAGAAATAAAAAATAAAATGATATTATAATGAAAGAATATAGATAATAAAATGTGAAAATTTTTCTTGAAATATGAAATTTTTCTTTTATCTCTATACTTGTTCCCTTTGACTAGGACATTTTCATGTAATTATGTTCATCTATTTTAGAATTCTATTTATATCAAAATATATATAATATATATAATATATATAATTCATATAATATACATAATAGTGTTTCATCGAGACAAGAATCTTGAATTTGAAAATCTTGAATTTCTTGACATTTCTTCATTTTTTAAGCAGGGTCTTTGTGACTTAGACTACGTCGCATCGTAAGAGATAATAAGAGAAAACATAAATACATATTAAATGTCGAGTCGTAGTTTACTATGTTTATATTCATGTTTTAAAATTGTGCCTATAATCTATTATGCACAAATCTAATAATAAAGAACAAATATTTTTCAAATTATCATTTTTAATATCATGAGGTTACTGCCAAATGTAACTATTTCAAATTATTAAATTCCTGAGATTATTAGATATAATAATAATAATAATAATAATTCTATATAATAATAATATATAATAATAATATATAATAATAATTATTATTATTATTACTATAATTATTATTATTACTATATATTTTAATCTCATTCTTGATTATCCATTTAATTGATACTATCAGTAGAAGTTACGCAAACGTTTATACTTTTGCCAGTAATCTCGCAATTCATTAATTTTATATATATTCCTTATATATATTCCTTTACATATAAATGTATCTAGTACAACAATCGATGAGTATAATTTAATTTGGTTAGGGATTTCACTCTCTTTTTCATTAATCGATTTACACTCTGCTCATATGCTATTTTGCTATTTAATGAAAATGTATGAATATACATTTCTATATTATATAATATAGAAATCTATATTATTTAATGGTATTTATAATCTGTTATAAATACCAATAGATACAATTGAAAAAGTTGAAATCTAATTTATTCAAAACTATTTAAATCAGAAATAAAATTAAAAAACATTAAAGTAATAAAGTATTAAAAATAAAAACTGTCGAAAATTTCAAGGAATTTCAAGAAATTTTTTGACATAATATCAAGAAATGGACATGATAACAAATTCTTGTCAATAACTTATTGACAACAATTTCTTAAAATCAATTTCCAATTTTTTGTTTTGGTCTTGAGTCGAGATAAAACCAAACAAGATTTCTTGAATTTTTTGATGAATCACTATATCGAAAAATATTAGAATTCAAATTATGTTCAATTAAAGTAACCGAATTATGAATTTATGCTGTATAATAAATTATGAATTTAATTACTTTATCGATTTTTGTTTCAACATAGCAAGATTCTACATTTTTAAATCCAAAGGATTTAATTATTAGAACGTTTCTCGAATATTAAGAATTCCACATCGTCATTAAATAAAAAATATGTCAAAGAAGGCTTATAAAGTATCGTAATCTCATGTGACATCTTCGTCATAATAATATGCTAGGTAACATTACATACATAAATTTCTGTTTTATATGAGAATA